GGGTGTGGGTGTGGGTGTGGGTGTGGGTGTGGGTGTGGGTGGCTGGAGGGTGTGGGTGTGGGTGGCTGGAGGGTGTGGGTGTAGGTGTGGGTGTGGGGTGTGGGTGTGAGTGTGGGTGTGGGTAGGGTGGGTGTGGGGTGTGGGTGAAGATGAAGAGAAGACTTACACCCACACCCACACCCACACCCACACCCACACACCCACACACCCACACCCACACACCCACACACCCACACCCACACGCCCACGCACCCACACCCAAAATTTACACACTATCGGTTTCAATGTAAGTCTCGCTCAAACTTTTCGGTCCGTTAAGACCGAATGTCCCTTCCAAGGGACATTTTCTTCATGCTATCACTATGTATCAACAGGTAACTTAAAAATTTAGGGAACAGTTTCATTCGGTAGCTTGCCTTTGTGCCTCTCAGAAAAGCCAAAATTCACGCTAATTCACGCTATATTTACGAAAAGGCATACATTGCAAAATACAAAATTGCATTTAAAAAATTCATGCATTTTCCAAAACCTGCTTCGTCCCCTGACAGTCGATTTTAAGAAATTTCTTTTTCACTCTATACTCTATTAGGTCATCAAAGTCCAAAAAAATATTGGTCGATGCCTCAACGATTTTTTTACGTCTTCTATAGTGTTTTTTCAAATGTCCATTGGAAGGGACATTCGGCTCTTAAGGGTTAATAAATTGTAGAACATCAAATATTGAAAAAAAATATTTCTGATTGATTTTGCGTATCATTATTTTTAGCAATTGTTATAGAGATAACTTGTTCTAGTCGAATATGAACACACATAAGATCAAATTGATGTTTAAATATAGATGATAAACCTATCCAATATCGATCATAGTCAACAAGAACATTGTCTATATATGAACTTAATCGAGCAAATCCATATAATATTTCATGTGACCATAGACAATGAAAAATATTATGAACTACTTCGACTGGAAATGAATTAAATAGACACATAGACATTATTTCAACCAGGATAAAATTATAAAAACACACTATATAACAATCATTCAACATTTAGTAAAGTGTGTTGTGCAATATTCATTTTACATACCTCTTTGTTTTCTTCGTTTCTATGATTCTGTGGTGATAAAAGTATACACAACGAAACTAAATGTGCACACTTAGGGTCTTCAGATGTCTGTTTGACAAAGTTTTTGTGTACTCAAAAAGTGAGTACACTCTAGAATCGGTCAGTGTGTCCGGCCATCCGTATACACGATAACTTTTGAAAGGAGAGTCAGATCACGATGAAATTTTCTACACAGTTCAGTCTTAACAATGTCTCGATCGAGTTAGAAGATGAGAAGGATCCGTCACAAAATGGCTGAGT